GTTTATATTTATAATACATAATATAATATAAATTATAATAATATAAGTTTATTTTAGCAAAAACAATATAGATTTACATAAAAATATTAGAATAAATATATATGACACAATGTTTGCAACTCCCCTTTAAGCATAAGCTTGTTTTGGGGGTGTATAAGTTTGAGTACAATACAAGATTGGAAAAAAGATAACACTAATTATTATAAGATTTACATAAGTAAAACTAAGAAAAAAAGAAAAACATTTTTAGTAAAACGGTATAATCAAAGACATATTTAAATCAATTAACATAGTACGGTATAATCGCTAAATTTATATCAATTAAGACATTTTATCACAAATTTAAGTATGTGAGATCTAAAGTTTTCAGAAAAGATTTAAATATACATATATTTTTGTATTTATAAATATTAATATTCAGCTGTCTACATATCATAGATGCTGTGGATATAGAACTTTTTAGACCTAATTGCTTTTTAGAAATAGGCACACAAATATTAATATTCTCTTTATATCGAGTATTATATGAGTGATTAACTCTAGATAGATTATGCTTAAATATGTATAAGCTTAATAGGATATTTTTATAGTATAAATTTTGTAAGCATGAAACATTAAGTTCTAAATAAGCAGAATCATTACTATAATACATAGGTCTCAATAATAAAAATGTAATTAACCTATTGAGAGTGATTTTAAGCCGATAAGTATGTGAATCATATGCTTGACCCCAGATACAAATACCATAATTAACAATAGATTGAGTTAGGGATAGGTATAGTAAGCGTTTGATGTGAATATTAAATAAGAACCTGACATCATGAAAAATAAAGAAAAATTTTCTAACGGTGTTTGTTAAATTATTTATATGAGAGGCCCATTTTAGCTTACTGTCAATGGTTATACCTAAGTATTTTATAATGTTAACCTGTTCCAATATTATACAGTTACTACAGGTTCTATTACATTGCACTGAGTGAACGGTTATTTTATTGTATAAGTTAAATTCAGAAGTACTATTAAAAAGTATATATTTAGATTTATTAAGGTTTAACTCTAATAGATTGTTATCAAACCATACTTTAACACTGCTTATAATTCTGTTAGCATTAGAGTATAACAAATCAGTGGATTTATCTGTTACAAGAATTACAGTATCATCAGCATAACTAATAATTTTAGAATTAACATTCAAATTTAATAAGCCATTTATATAAATAATAAATAAAATGGGACCTAGAACGGTACCTTGAGGAACACCATGCAAAATGTGTAATTGGTTACTGTATGTATTATTTATTCTTACTAATTGTGTCCTATTTGATAAGTATGATTGCATTAGATTATAAATATTTCCTCTAAAGCCAGCCAGGTATAGCTTTTTTAGAAGTATAGCATGATTGACACTATCAAACGCTTTTTTTATGTCAAGAAATATACCTAAAACTTTATTATTGGAATCTAAATTGTCATGTAGGACTTTGTTGAACAGGAATAGAGCATCATTGGTGGATCTGTCAGGTAAGAATCCGAACTGGTTTTTTGAGAAAAACTCATTTTTATTCAGGAATAGCAGTATCCTACTCTTAATACACTTTTCTAATATTTTAGATATAGATAAAGATAGCGCAATAGGGCGAAAATTACCACAATCCAAGGTGTCACCAGATTTGAATATAGGTAACACGACACATTTTTTGAAACAAGAGGGGAATACTCCTTGTGAGATAGACAAATTAAAAAGATAAGATAAGGGGTAAGATATTGTCATAGCAGTTTTTTTAAGATATAATTACTAATTAGTTAATCCATGCTCAAAAAATGAGGTTCTATCTTTAATTTTATTAATATATTGCTCGATTTCAGCAACATTTATTGGCTTAAAAAAAATTGAATCTGCAATATCACACTTGTTGTTTAAGGCTTTCCATGGTTTTTCGACAAACCCTTTAGATCTAATATTATTTTCAATATCACTACCTACTCTGACAAACAATCTATTAAAAGTGTTACAAATGTCTCTTTCATTATATATTAAGGTATCATTGCTGTATATACCTTTAATGTTATATGGATTACTTTTTTTGCATGTAACTTCCTTTAAGATTCTCCAAATAGATTTAGATTCATTACCAGCTGCCATTATTTTTTTTTGGTAATGTAAAATTTTTGCTTTTTTTTATTAAATTATTTAGTAGGTTACGATACCGAGTATAAGATAATTTTAATTCCCTATCAAAAGGTCTATTACGTAATTTAGAAGATAATTTATTTCTATTTCTGATTGAGACTGTTACACCATGTGTAATCCATTCTTTAAGCTTTTTATTATTATTATTATTTTTATATGGTCCAGTAATATTATATAAAGATAGGGAAATAAGTTGACTAATTATGTTATTAAATGTTTCATATGCTTTATTTACATCGTTATTACATAGTAAATTATCCCAATCTTCAATGCTAATGAGCATATTTAAGTGATCTATGTTAATTTTATTTCCTATCTCAGATAATTTTTTATCAGTGTTATCAGCTAAATTAGCATCATTTTGAATGTATAATATAGTATTTATTCCCAAACTTAAAATTTGAAGAAGTTTCCATTGAAAATTTCTCATTATAAAATCTTCTTCTTCATTTACCATTTTAATTTTTACATTTGTATAAAAATCATTGAAGTTAGAATTTTTTGTTAAAATTTTATTAACTGTAAAACTAAAAAAATCTTCATACCGGTTGGCTGGATTGCACAAATGTGGCCCTGTTTTAGAGAATATCAAGACAGGAGATCAATTTAGAACCATAATATTCGAAACAATGAGTATTAAAACACATATTGAAGCTGACTCATACCTTTTGACTCATGATCATAATGTTTTAAAAGTTTTGAACATTATTCAAAATAAAAACACTGAAGATATTATTTTAATATGTAAAAAGTTTGAAAACAAACGCCCATTATTCATTAAACCTATTGAATCAACATGTTTACATATTTATATTGTTAACCAATTATCAGATAATTATGTATCGTTTACCATTAATAATATTAAAAATAAAATGGTAGTTTTATCATTTAATGAAAATTTTATAGCATTACCAATAATTCATTCTACAAAAAAATTGTTATAGTCTAATGTTTATAATGTTTAATTAATAGACTTGCATTGTATTGTATTGAGAGATATACGATATACCTACAAGTTTTTAGTAATTTATGTTTTATATTTGTCTTAATTGTATAAAAATCATTACCTATATACCTAAATATACATTTATTATGTTTAGTATAAATTAACTTAAGTGCACACCAAAGTTTATGTTTTTATTTTTATTTTAGATTTGTCTAGCTATTTGTTGTTATACAATGTGGCTTGTAGTTGTTTTTAAGGACGATAATTCGGTTGAAGCTGTGCCTTCTTATTGGTACAAAAACCGAAAGTGCGCTTGGCCAAGAAAAAATGCCAAAAAAATGATAACACACAGATCACCACCAAACATATTAGAATTTGATTATTTAGAAGCACGTAAATTGGGTAATAAGAGCTATGGTAAGTATATTTGAATATAATAATAATACACATTATTTTATTAAAATATGGTACTTAAAATGATTATATGATATGTGGATATATTACATCTGTAGCTTATTATTATTTGTACTATATCTATCTGCATAATTATATACACATATCTGATATTACAATTAAGTACCTATGATTAGTAAAAGATGCAATTTTTTTTATGTAATTTATGTTTGTAATAGTACATTGTTTTTTTCCAGACTCCTATACAATAGCTCGTAACAAAGCAAAATTATCTGAAAATACCTCAGATCTATCTACTACTGAAGTATCTGAATCAACCTAAAACTTACACCATATAAAAAGAAAGAAAATTGAAAAAAAGAAAAAATTGTATGATACTTCAGTAATTTGGAGTCCAGCTTCTGATGACGATTTAAGTAATTTTTAAAAAATCATAAATAATATTTCAAACATCAATAAAATACAATAAATATTATGCACCCCTTTTGTATTTTAAGTTGAACAAGAAGATATCAATACAGCAGTGGAATCAAATACATCTATGGAATTGAACATTGTGAATGGTAAATACTAAATTCCTATATATAAGATAATCATACAGTTAATAATTTATATATTGTACCAATTAAGAATGATACAATTTTGTATAACATTTCTTTAATAAAATATTAAAATTTCAGGTACACAAACCGATGATTCAACACTACAAACAGAAAATATCAAAAGTGGTACATTAAGTGTAAAAAGAAAATTAAGTTATGTACAACCTGAGTCTTCAAAATTTCAGAAAGGTTAGTAAAAAAAAAAAAATACTTATAATTAAATTATAAAACTAATATTTAAAACATATTAAGTTGTATAAATATTAATTCAACACGTCATATTTATTATTAAAAATGTCATGCTTTGTTTTTGAATTATGTCTGTGCAAGATCAATTTGCAATAGGTACCCCAATTGTTACATTGGTATATTTAATCATTTTAATCCATATAATAGTAAATCATAGAAATATCCCTTGTATAAAATATAAAAAAATATTTATAATTTGATATTAATAAATACATTTTTATTAGGTACCGAATTGGAATCAAATAATGTAATTTTTTCATCATCTTCCCCATTTAAAGTGACAACTGAAGAAAATATTGTGCCTCAATCTGTTCAAATGGAGATTAATAGTGTAAACAGAAATGAAAAAATCTTGATAGATTTGTCAGCCGACTATCAACCTGCTCAGAAATTGTTGGATTTGTCAGCAGACTGCCAACCTGCTCAAAAAGATAAAGTACTAGGTAGATATAATATGTGTTGTATAACAATGTGGATATAAACTAAAAAGATAATATCATAATTAATATTCTCACAAGCATTGAAGCATAATATAGTAGATTTGATGAATATGTTTACAGATACTATAATATGATATTTTTCAGAACTTATGTACAAAATGAACCGTACTATGTGTAATATCAAGTATGATATTATGTCACTATCTGACAAAATTGATAATTTGATAAATAAATCTGAAAAAACTGGGCTTGGTTTTGGTGAGATGTTAACTGATGAAGATACATTTCAAAAAGAAATATTTAATATCCTTCCTATAGAAAACGAAGAAGACTTATTGTTGTTTGAATCCAAACTTTCCAATCAGGAATTCAGAAAAAAAATTGTAAGTTTAATACCTAAATTAATGTAGATAATTTGTATTCATTTGATTATTTAGGAATAATTTTTTTGATATAATAAGTATCTATTTTATTTGGGAATCTATCAGAAATTTGTAAGATACTTTTTGTTACACTTGTTGTCATGGTGATAAAATGTATTATCAATAATAAACTGGTCAATAAAATAATATGTTATATTATTATAAGAATCTCTTTGAAGGGGGGAGATTGTGGTTATTTTTAAGATACATTTTGAAATTATTTGTTTGGATGATTAAATTGTTATAGGCTATTAATAATTTGTGAATAAATACTTTTGAAAACTTTTGAATAATAAAGTTATGCATGAGGTTAAAATATTGTTGATAAAATAATAAATTTGTACAAATTGAATAATTTAAAAGGTGATAATTTAGAGATAAGATTCGTCAGTTTCTAACAATCCTCTAAAAATATAATTATTGAAATAGTTTTTTATTAAAATTGAATTATTTTACAGACTTTGGAACTGAAGCGAAATGCAAAGAGTTCATTACCCAGTACTGTGCGCTCTATAATGAGATTCCTTTTCAAAGACAAATTGCTGAATATATTCAGTTATAAAGGGCAAAAAGGAAAAAAGGTGTTCTACACATTAACAATATGTTCCGTTATATTTGGTAATTACCAAGTTTTTATCTTTTATTTTTCATTATCCTGTCTACAACTAATATATACAAAAAACAATTTTGTTAATTATTTCTAGACTCCATCAAGCTCATGAAAAAATTTAATAAATTTGATACAATCGAAGTTGAGGGGCCTCTAAAAATATTTATTTCAGGCGCAAAGTTCAGAGATGTACCGAAAACTAAAACTGTTCAATCCATGAACGATTGATTAATTTGTATATTAAATTTTTAATTCACAGAATAATATAACTTTATTAATAAATTGCTTTTAAAAAGCAGTACAATAACAGAAAATCGGTGCTTAATTTTATTCATTGTATTATAATTGTGCAGGTAATTCCTATAAATGTCCATACATAAGACAACATAAACATTATGCAAATCAAAAATCATATAAATTGTAATGTAGTTGTCAGTTAAAGAACTTTTTAATTATTACTGTATTTGGTCATTACATATTATACTATACATAATTATTAATTATGTTTTTAAATTTCTACCATAAACATATATAATGTAGTCATAACTTTTAAAAATTAGTCCATCTAAAATATATATGAGTGAAAAAGTACCAAATGGGTAGTACAATAATAATTTTGGTGTTAAATTTAAAGGCACAATTTTTTATATTTCAAAATATATTATATTTTATTTTAATGATATAAATTCATATAGTTGGTTATCTTCTTAGATAAGTATCACTTAAGCATACACAAATTATATTATTAAAAATGCTGTAGTTATTAAAAAGAGCATTAAGAATCAATACAATTTGTTGCAACATAATAATGTAATAAAGCACATTACGTGTAATACAATTTATCATGGTACCTACCTGTATTATAATAATTATTGTTTACTAAGAAATAATGACATTTCAGTTAATATTTATACAAAAACGGCGGTGAATAATTGTGCCTCCAGCAATAATAATATTATAATAAACGGCAATACCTAGGTACATTACGTGATCACAATTATATAATTATTATTATAATTGAGTGCTCGGAGTGGGTATTTATAAACATATGGCATATTGTGGTATAATATAGGTATGGTATACCACACTGTACGAGCTATATTGTCCGATTGAAATGGATTCGCAGCGTATGGTCTTGACGGCCGAGTGTCGTCTTTATGGCGCGTAACGTGAGTTGTTTCAAAAACCGGTCACCGTGGCCGAAGAAGGACTACAATAATAATAAAGTAATGACAATAATATAGGTGCGAGAAATAATACCTGTAATGCCTGTAATCTCTGTGAACGCACATAGTATAATAATATAATTAGGGTTTTAAAATGTCTTGAAATATATTATTTATAATATATTGTGAAAAATCAAAATAAATTTGTAATTAAAAATAAAAATTGTTTTTATCTATATAATTTACATACATATATATTATTATTATAGAGCGAGGGAAAATTTTTAAAAGTATTTTCATTGTACGAAACAAAGATAAACCATTAACAAAAAAACGTTGAAGTTACCTACTTTATATTATACCAGTACCCACACATCAGTATAAAACAATTTATACATAACTATAATAGAACCACCCCATAAAGTCATAACTCATAAGCATATTTTATAACACGTTTAAAAAGCAGAATAAAAATTTACTGACTTTGTCTTTACCTAATGTATAATATTGTTTACTAAATATTGTTTGATAATTGTTTCAAATTATAATCTCAGATGCAATCATTTTAATGTTGTTGATTATTGTTTATCGTCATTAATATTGCAGTTAGTAGTTATTAATAAAGTTCAAATATGCAAGAATTCTGCATATCTGCGATGCATATTTTATAGAAATTTATTACTCCCATGTTTTTTAAATGCAGCTACTGCTACGTCTCAACATAAATTGTACGAGTCGAGTATATAGTTGTTCTTGATTATTTTGTAAACATACTTCGGCTGGCGTTACCTTTATTTGATTTTTCCGATACCAGACAAGTTTTCACGCAAATTTAAGCCACTTTTACACTTTGCCATTTCTATATCATTCAAAATGAAAAACATATTAAATCTCAAAAGTGCTATATCGTCTATCTCCGTCGTAGAATTATAATGAAAAATTATAAAAAATAAAGCCAGGGCTTGAAACCGTTGTTGGATACCGATTTTGAATTCCTGTTAAAATCGAAACCGATATAAAAACTGAAAGCGGAATCGAAAAAAATCAATACCGGTAACCAAAACCAAAATTGAAATCGGAAAAATGTTTTCAAGACCTGAATAAAACCACCCTTTATAAACATCCGCACTTTGATAAAACTGCCAATTATGACAATTATTTATGGAGCATTTCTCAAATATTAAGCGTAGAACTGAATTTTTTTCAAAACTAGATTTGACATGCCTAAATAGCTTTACAGTTTTTTTTTTTTTTCTAAACATTTTCACGTGTGCCAAAGTGTTAGCGCGAAGGGTCCAGGTCATAACCCTAAAATGTATAATATTGTTGATCCGCATACCTGTGCTGCAAGTACCTTACTCCTGTATATAGGTACTGTAAATTATTTGTGACGCCTCGTACAACAGCAGCAGCTCCAGCAAAAGCGGCGGCAGTACCTAAATTATTACATTGTTGATATTATATGCTGCGCACGCGGCCGACGATGCTTTTTTGCAGCGTTCCGTGTTCCGACTATTTTATTATGACGTTTTATTATTAGTATGCGAGTTTAAAAAAATAAAATATATTATATATTGTATTGTGTGTGTGTGTGTGCGTATTATTCAGGTATATATTGTGTACTTACGTATATTATTATATGAGAGTAAAAAATATATAAAAAATAAACCGATCGAAAATCGCCGATAACCGCGACGGTTATACTGCTATATATAGGTAGTAACTAGTAACTATGTATATATATATATATATATATATATCTGATACGGCTGGTGTACACATAGGTAGTTAGGTGTATAAGGTTTAATGTATAATATATTAAACAGGCTTTCGTAGTAAACGACAACACACGCCCTGTCCGAGATGGGTATAAAAGTTACTTTTTTTTACACTACGATTGATTTAGAGATTTATAACATATAATATTATTAGGTACATTATACTGAACGAGTTACGTGTTTTCATCTCAATATGCGTAACGAGAGTCATTTTTCAATATTTCATGTTTTACAATTATTTATTTATATAACAATACCTATCAATATTATGAATTGTGCTCAACAGATTACAGGTAACTACCAGGTATAGTGGGTTAAGTTGTTAAGTTATATTAGTGCCTATGGTTTCTGATGAGGTACAGTGAACACTATCGTTGGTGCCAAACTGTAAATATTGAGCGTGGTATACAAATTGAACAATGAAACTTGAGTACAATGACATTCGAACATAATATGCAAATCGCGAAAGCCATTTAGGATTCCATGCTTATGTATATACTTGCACAAATCAGCTTCTTCCAAAAAGCATTTGGATTGTTGAGTTATAATAAATTCAATTAATATGACATTACAGTTTAAACTGTGAAACGTACTATGTAAATTATTTAATTGTGTATGGGTAATGGATAATAATAATAATTATAAGTTAATGGATGTCGGATGATATGGCAACTCGCATACTTCAAGGTATAGCTGTGGATTTATTGCATTATTACATGCTTTCTTTTTTTAGCATATTTAAATAAGCTTATAATAATTATTTAAATCAAAATAAATAAACAATCAATTCATATACAATCAAAATTGATTTGTAGTTGATGTTTTTGATCTATAATTGATGAAGGAATAACCTACCTATAAATTATAGCATAGGTACCTATGTTTTTTTCGTTAACTAATAGTAAGTTTTTTCTGTCTCATATAAGACTTGAAAAGTGGAAAATTTTTAAATTTCTAAAATTTTTTAAAACTTTATCTATTATAGATATTGAAAGTTTTTAATTCTGCTTTTTAGACTATATGTGTTATAATTTTATGTGCATATGGGAATTGCAAATACATTTTTAAGATTTTTTTTCTATATTAAAATATCCTTGTTAAAAGCTCATTAATAAAAAAAAAAAAAAAAATATTTTATAGTGCCTTAATTTCCCGACCATGTAGTTATTATTATAATATTCCAAACGCGATGGGCGCTATAATTTACTACACGATTCTTAGTACCTGTAAAAATCGATCGGTCGATTTATTTTACTACGCAATTTTTCTTTATTTTTTTTTTTACTAAATACTTGTAAACTGTGTGAGCTCGTCTCGCCCGAGGAAAAACTAAACAAAAGGGAGTCGTAAATCGAGGCGCCGCCAAACATTATTAATCCGTATACATTATACAAATCCATTCTGACCGCCACCGGCGCCCACTACGACAAATCGGCCGTTATTAAAATGATTTATACAATAATAATTATAATAATATACAAACAAAACGAATGTGTAGAGGCAGCTATGACTATCCCAGACGGCAATTTAGTAACATCAATATTATGATAACTTTTTAACTAGGTTAAATCTTAAATATTAAAATTTCAATATTATTATAACATTATTCAGAATTTAAAAAAATAATATTTTATTCATAATATTTCTTTAAAATGATTATAAAGTTTTTTTTCTAATATTGAATTTAAAACCCTGTAAGTCATTTAAAACAACATTATGTTATTAACTTAATATAATATTATTTTGAAAATATTTTTTGTATGTTTTGAATTAGTTAAATTTATAATATTTTAGTTTTGATTAGCAGAAAACTTTTAAAGAATATTACAAAAATTATTTAAAATAATATTTAACTGTAAATGTTCTATGCGGATTTTACGATAGTGAAATTATTAATGTCTTAAATTTAACTTCAAGGAAACATTAAAGTTTATTGAATCAATAATGAAAAATTAAAATAATCTTTTAAACTATATAATATATAATATATATATACATTATTAGTATTAGTAGCGATCTGTGACCTACAGTGGCGTAATTAGGAATTTAGTTTGGGGGGATATACGTTTTTAGCAAACATGAATGGGTCATCCTGCAATACATTGATCAAAATGTTAGCAGTAAAAAAAAGTTTTGAGATCTATCCCCCAAATCACCCCCTAATTACGCCCCTGGCTGTGACTATATATACATATAATACATAGATAATAACATAAATACGTATATATATTCATACGTTATAACGCGTGACTGTGTAATATAAATAATATGCGAGCGAACGAGTGCGTAGGTACCTAAGCGTAACGATAATAGTAATAATATTATATTATTAATATATTATTTGTAATAATTTATTATTGTTGATATTATATAATATTGTTTGTAAAACTTGAAAATATAATACGTGTGGCCCACTCTCTACTCAAAGTACAGCAGAGGGGTAGTATAGTGCCACTACGGAACTGGTTGATTTAAAAAAAAAAAATTATTTATTTACGATAAATCCACCTTCAATGTGCTTGGAATAATTTATAATTAGATGTAATTTTGGTATAATAGCTGGCTTAAACCTATTGAACCAGATTAATAAGTGTAGGTCCCTATAGGTATTAATTAGGCCAATACCTATATATGTGGTGAAAATCCAGGGGACTTGATACCAGATACAGTAACATCATCTTATGATTTGTTGTTTTTACCATTTTTGGTCGAAAAAATTAATAATGTAATGGATTATATTATTACTTACTTGCTAGGCCTTTGCAACAACGTCCCTATTTACTATTTTCCTAAGTTTTTTGCAATTATTGTCAAGTGAAGAAAACTAAAATGAGAGTCAAAATCTTTTTCAAGTCACCGAGGACAAAAATTAAGAGTGAAGTTAAAATAATAAAACAATTGCATATTATCATTAGGTATTTCAGATATTATTGGTATTTATTTATTTAAACACCGTAAAGCCAGTGGTTAAAGGGGGGGTCGCAGGAGGAGTGGAGGACTCGGTCCCCCAACCTCTGACGGCGGTTAAAAAGCGTCCCCTTTAACAAATTAGGATTTTATACATTACACATTATACAAAAAGTTATACTTATATGGAATGCTTAAAACTATATGGAGACATTAATCCCCTTTGGAATTTTTTCCCACTTTAACTCCTGCGTAAAGCCCAAGTACAGTGTATAATAAATATAATAATAAATAAGACGTGACATAAGTAACGCTACATAGTAGTTTATTGTAGCGTTGTAATATGCCATTGGAAACTTGGAAAGGCCAAAACTAACGAATTAGGTAGGTACCAGTGGCGTATTTAGGTTTTTGTCATGGGGGGGGATATGATTTAAAAAATCTAATCTAGATACTAGAGGCCTTAAGTTAGGACTCCGAAAAATTTTGCATATTATATACAGCATATGAGGGAGGGGGATTAATTCCCTTGATCCCCCCCCCGTTAATAGGCCGGTGGTACCTACAAATAAAAATATATATTATGAATAATATGTACAGACGCACAGTGTACACCGGCCACAGGCCACGTATTTTATATTTATTATTATTTATATCAATATTATAATCTTTTATTCCATATTATTCTTATCTGAAATGATTGCAATTTGCAACAAAGAAATGCCGTGAGGTACGGGTACCTACCTACCCGGCGGCTACGATAGAAGCGCATAGAACAATTTATAGAAGTGCCTATTTCGTGACATCGTGTGGTGGTGGTGGTACTTAATATGACTTATGACGGGAGGAGAGTGGTAGTATGTTAATGTCAAACGGGCGATTACTCGAAAGCAGGGTATTCATGCTATTTATACAGTTATAAATATAAATTTAATATTGGTTTAAACTATTATTATCATATATGAAAAATACAAATATTATTAGTGTTGTCGTGCCTGTGCGTTTTCATTGTTAATTGTTACGTGTAGTTCGTTACTTCGTTCAGTTCAGTCGTACACTCCGGTATCTGTACTTTTAAACGATTCAATTGATTTCAATCATATTTGCAACGTAAGTACCTATTATTTACAATTAAATTATTATATATTAAGCTATTTAATTGTACGAAAAAGATGTAGCCATGAAGGAAGGTCTTAGGTATTACCTAATGTACTACATTAGTTTTTGGGATTTAAAAAAAAGTAATGCAAATGTTTTGCTTTACTAGGTAGGTTTACTAGCGAGGTTTGTAGTTTATTGTATGAGTAAATTTAAGTGCATTTAGATAAAAGGAACTTTAAGAATTGTTATAATTTATTATAATGAGTATTAGCCATTAGGTGTATGAAAAAGAATAAGGTGCCATCATACATTCCAAATAATTAGCGCGCCATTTGTTTACTCTCTCTGGCCCACACGCAGCATAGACAAAACTTATTAATGAAGAATCATTCTTTCTGTTTTTAAGTACCTAATCTTAGAGTAAAATCACCCATTACAAAAAAGATAGAGAATCATATTTTTGAGGTAATGACATAACGATTTTATATTTTGTTGTTATTAGACTTAGGTAGTAATCGACTTTAATAAACAAAAAAATGTTTTAAATTTAAATTATGTTTAAATTGTTTTAAGACAATATTCAGACAAATTGTTATGTCATTCCCTCAAAAATATTATTCTCTATCTTTTTTTTAATGGGTGATTTTACTCTAAGATTACTTAAAAACATAGAAAAAATGATTCTGCGTAAATATGTTTAGTGTATGTTACGCATGGGCCAGACAGAAAACAAATAGTGTGCTGACGTCTTCTTAAGGCTTAAAGGTGTTAATACACTGTCAGTTGTCACTGTATTCTGTGTGGTCCATATTCATAATTTTTTTTGATATTATTAGCAAATTTTAGGCTGCTTCTAGTCAGTTATTTTTATTATTTTAATGCAATTTATGAAACATCTTTTACACCCATACCTATAATACCTATAATACCTATAATACCTATAATTATACTTAGTAGGTACCTAACTAATGTTAATAATTATAATACCTACCTAGCTATTTCATTATTATATTCATAACTGATAAATTGTAAGATAAATTATGGTGTATTATATTAGTTTAAATACAGTTATAAATTATAATTAAGATATTAATAAGGAATAGTGCATAGGTGCCTAGGTAGGTATATCTAGTTTTTGTTTTTGAATAAATCTTGTATTTATAATTTTTTAACTTACATTTTTGTGAATATAAAGGTTCTTTTAAATTGTGATTTAATTTTAAACATTACTGCTAATTAAGTTAGGTACCTACCAACCTACCTTATATATTTCTAAAACTGATAAAAAATACTATTATAATTTATAAGTACAGAGTAATTTTTTAAATATGCTCACATTTTCTTAAGTTCTGGATGAATTTTGTACCTACCACTTATGGAGTGTCCTGTAGCGATATAAACTTATATTCTTCAAATGAGACCCCCCTTTCTTCTTCACCTATACTGCAAATTATTTAGCGGTTGATTTTCTTGAAATTCTATGGATTAGTTTCTAAGTTGTTATTTATATATATAATATATATAATATATATTATTATTTATGCTATAGGTAGATAATAATCCTTAAAAATGGTTTTACTAACATATAAACTATAATTTGTAATTTTAGATGTATCTAGTATCTATTATACTTCAAACATTTTTACAAATTATTTATATTGGTAGGTCAATAGGTAGTAATTACTAACATTTTCAAATTATCTAAGCCCCTATATACCTATACTTAACTCATTATCATATAGACATATTATTCTTAGTACACAAAGTTAAATATAACACAAAAGCTACTCTTTCAAATTTTGATTTAAATATACCTACCTACATCAAATCTCTCAAAAAAAAATATCTGCTAAATAATTAAAAGTTGAAAATGGGGATTCCTATTTAAAAAACAGAAGTTTATATTGTTAAAAGATCATCCTTAAGTAGTACCAAAATTGTCGAGTACCTACTCAAATATATTATGGTCTTTAAGTGTGATTCAAAATTCCAAAAATCAGAACTTTGAATTTATGCATAATTTAAGCATAAAAATAGTGTGAACACTGAGCATGTTTAAAAAATCACCATGTATAGGTAATTACATTATTACTAATAATTTATAATAAATTATAATAAATTATTAGCAATTTGTTATTTTAATTTAATTTAATTGGTACTTATGTAGGTACCTATTTATATCTTAATACAGATAAAATGATTAAAAGTGGCAGATCAAAAAGAAGGAAAACTAGACAAGAAATAAACTTATTAGATACAATATATTCAAACCATAAATTGAACAAATGTGATTCCAACACTTCTAAAGAAAAATCACCACTATTGGAAGAAAATAGAACTATTGTATCGGAAAATAACAATTTTATGGTTGATAATGACGTTGTTTTTTCATCTGAATCTCTTGAAGTTGATTCATTAGTTGTAACACCAGTGGAAATTAGTTCAATATCATGCACAGATTTATCTAAAAATTGTTCACTACCAATACCAATTTCTGATATTTTGTCTGGATGGGCTGTAAAGTATAATATTTCGCACAATGCAGTAAATGGATTATTAAAAGGCTTAAAAACACATAAATGTTTTAGTAAACTCCCAGCTGATAGCCGTACACTGATAAAAATTCCATATAATACTTCTAAAGAAATTCGTACAGTTGAACATGGAATTTACCATCATTTTGGCTTAGCTAATGGTATTTTGAAACATGCCCCTCTAAATAGTGATAACATTCAAGTGGTCATAGGTATTGACGGATTACCACTGTCTAAAAGTGGTAATAATCAGTTTTGGCCGATACTAGCATTTAATTTAGTCGAACCTCCATTAGCTAAAGTTGTTTATCTAGTAGGACTTTACTATGGCAAAGAGAAACCCTACAATAGTAATAATTATCTTTTAGATTTTGTAAAAGAAGCTAAGGATCTTACCTCAAATGGAATTTTAATAAATAATATTAGAATCAATGTTTCAATTCATGTGCTTTGCTGTGACGCACCAGCAAAATCTTTTGTCTTAAAAGTCAAAGGCCATAGCGGATTTTCTTCTTGTACAAGATGTAAAATAGAAGGTGAATATATGAACAATCGAGTTTGTTTTCCATATACACAAATTAAATCAACCACGAGGAGTCACCAAGGTTATGTTAATCTTGCAGATGAAGATTATCATGTTGGCAATGAAATATCAAATCTTGCTGAGTTGCCAAATTTTAATTCTGTATCATCTTTTTCTCTGGATTATATGCATCTTGTTTGTTTGGGCGTTATGAAAAAAATGTTGATGCTGTGGGTGAACAAAGGTCAAGTTAATGTTCGTATTCGATCTACCAAAATTAATGAGTTATCTAAATCTTTATTAAACATTAATGTGGTCATTACATCTGACTTTGTCAGAAAATGTAGATCTATGCAAGAATTAAGTCGTTGGAAAGCCACCGAGTTCCGTTTATTCTTGTTGTATATTGGACCAATTGTTTTGAAAAATATTATTAATGAAGAGTGTTATACAAATTTTATGACATTGAATATTTCAATGATAATCCTTTTAAGCTCTAATTATAGTTTCCTTCTCAGCTATGCACGACAACTGTTAGATTTCTTTGTTATGAGTTTCCAGAATATTTATGGTACACAGTTTGTATCCCACAATGTTCATGGCTTGCTACATATATGCGACGACTATGAACTATATGGTCCTCTTCATAACTGTTCTGCGTTTATCTTCGAAAATTATATGAAAGAATTGAAATCATTTGTAAAGAAACACGAAAAGCCGCTACAGCAAGTAATTAATAGATATAATGAAAAATGTCATGCCAACACATTAAATGAAAATAATTCAAGAACGAATAAGCAACAATTTATCCAGAAACCTGAATTAAAACATATGCATACCAATGGACCATTAGTTAAGAATGTTACTGGTTCACAGTATTATACATTATTATTTAAAAATATTAAAATTAAAATAAAACAGGAAAGAGATAGTTTTATTCTTACAAAGAATAAGGAAGTTGTAAAATGCTTAAACTTTTGTCAAAGAGGTGATGATATTTTACTAATAGGATGTAGATTCAAAATTATAAAACCATTTTATGAGGAACCTATGGACTCAACAATATTAAAAATATTCGAAGTTCAGAATCTTTCATCACTAATAAAATGTTGGCCCATGTTGGATTTTAAAAAAAAAATGATGGTATTAAATCATAATAACATGAATATAGCTATGCCTATTATTCATTCATAAATATCTATACAATTATTATAATACTACCTACCTATGTACTATAACATGTTTATAATGTATATAATTAATATAATTAATAAAAATAAAGTTCATACAATTTTAACATAAGAACTAATAGGTAAATCTAATGATGGCTGTTGTAAAATAAATCATAAGGTATTAATCAATATAATGCATATGTATAAAAACAATAGGGAATAATGAGAAATATTGAATGTATTATTTTTCAGATGGACACTCAATGTGGTTGGATAATAGTTGTATTTAGTGAAGATAATAGTGTAGAAGTAGTACCATATTCTTGGTTGAAAAAAGGTACTTGTGCTTGGCCCAAAGCAAAACAAGCTAAAAAAATTATAGAAAAAAGGATAAAACCAAATAAAATTGACTTTAATTTCTATAATGCGAGACAACTTGGGAGTAAAACATACAGTGAGTCGTAACTTGTATTTTTTTATCCTTACTTAATTGTTCATTTAATATAATATGTAACAACTTTCAGGTGTGTTATCTGAAGCTCGATTAAAGTTACCAAAAGCTGTTGTCAAGTCAGATTTATCCAGCGCTGAAGATAATTATATTGATAAGAGACAGAAAACATTAAAACGCTATAATGATAGTATTTCACCGAATACCAACAAATTAAAAAAAAAAACAATCACAATCATTTAAAAACAAATACTATAAGTAACATGTGTCCACCTCACCATGTATCTAAAGGTTTTATGATAATTTTTTTACATTTTCAAACCTAATTAAATAATTGTACTTATAATTAATAATAAGGAATATAATTTTTATTTCATTAGTTGGAACTCATGTTATAAAAGGATCAGATTCAAGCGATGACTCTGATGATAATGCAATTTGGGAAGTTACTAAAAAATCTCATATTGAAAATGATAAAGGTATAGTTTTAATTTTATGAGGATACTTAAAGACACTAACTATAGTACCATAGTTTCACATGCTATAAAAACAACACATTTTTTTTTCCCAGCTATTGGCCACTTTATTTTTGTCCTTTACCTACCTATATAAATATTTAAACTTGTTTTAGATATAATTTTTTTTTTTTTTAATAATACTCGAAATTCACCGAAATCAACTTTAAGTACTCCAGACATATTATATTCTCCTATTGGAAATTGGAAAGTTACGCCAACTGACATTGGCAAAGTTAGTCAATCAATATCTGCAACTAAATTATTAGAAGATATTGAGCCCGAAGTCTATACTTCATCAACAAACAACAAATCAAGTACAAATATTGCTGTCAAAAGAAAACTGTTTTATGAGGACAATTATTCTAGACAAATTACAGGTATATTTTTAAATATTTAAATGTGTTATAGTGCAAAAATAATATATTACCCATACAATATTAATTTAATTTCCAAGGTCACGATAGTAAAGAAAAATCAACAAATGAAGATATCTTAACTGCTATAAAAGGTATTATTTTAAAAATAACTTTTAGTCAAAGCTAATATTGATGATAATATTATAAATCTACTATTATATGATAAGATAGTTACTTGATATGTTAAAACTTAATTTTAATTTTAGATTTTAAAAGTGTGATTTTAACTTCTCATGCATATATGAAACACGAGTTACAAGCTATGATGTATTTGTGTCAAACCACTAATGAGAATGTTGAAAAACTGATGAAAGAAAAATCATCTTTTATTCCAGTACAAAATGATGATGTAAACATGGAAATGTTTCCAATCACAGATGGGCAAGGATTAAAAATATTAGAAGAACAAATTAAAGATAATGGTTTTAGAACCTCTATGGTAACTAAATTAATTAAAATGTATTATATGGTAAAGTCCTTAAACTTCATTGGTACAATAAGATGTATTTTCATTTATTAATTATACTAATTGTAACAATTATTAGTTCATTTTGATTAACAATATTATTTCAGATTCAAATATTAGTCCGTTTTTATTTTATTTTACTATAGTTAGTATTTTAGTGTGTTACAAGTTGATGTTAAATTATATCTACTTTCAATATCCTAAAAAAAAAATGTATACAATAAACATCTTTTTCTTTTTAAAGAATTAATTCAACATTTTTAATGAAATATATAAAAAAATATTTGTTTGCTATTACATATAACTTATATACTTAAGATTATTAATAATAATGATAATAATAATAATAATATATTATTTGAAGTTTTATCCCTACCTGTGTCCTATATGTATACAGTTTTAACTATGTTTTTAATTATATAAACCTGTATAATAATTATTAATTTTTATTAATTTTAGATTCGCAAGATTTCATTATTAATCGGTAACAAAGATCTAGGTAATAGTGTAAGAAGAATAATGAGCCGTATGTTTGATGATAAATTCCTTACAAATTATTCGTTGTTTGGCTTCAAGAAAAAAAAATCATTTTCATGTTTGTCATGCTGTCGTTTGATTATAGGTGAGAATTACATTAAAAATGGGTGTAGTATTATAGGTATTGTTAAAACTTTGAATTAGAATATATTTTTTTATCACACTGATGAGGATCCTAGGACTTAAAAACTGTAATAAAAGCTTCACATTTTAATATAATTATTAGAATCCCGTCTAGAATAGCGAAAAATTGTATGAGACTATGATTACTCAAAGTTCTACTATAAAAACATGTATATAATTACCAAACAAATTTTATTCCACTTTAAAGAAAAAAGTTAGTATACTATTATGAATTTATGTTGATGTTTTTATTTTTACACTGTATCCAACCATCAATTCAATAGTGACATTGAGAGTTCTGACAAAATATCTAGTATTTAATCTAAGAAAGAAATTTTAATTTTATAGTTTACATACCTATATAATATATCTAATTTGTTTTCAAATACAATTTCCAGTGTCCATAAAAATTATTGATCTTGAAAAATAAATTTAAAAACATATAATGTTAATGATGCAAATAATAATTTTTATATTTATCATCCATAATTTCTATGATAACTGAAAATATTTATTATATTATGTTGTTATTTTCCAGATGCATTAAGAACACATCTGAAGTACAAATATGCAAAAGAAAAAGAAATTGAAATACCTTTAGGGACTTGGCTTTCCCATGCTCCGTTCGGATTGAAAAAAGTTGAAGCATGAAATCTATTATATTTGAATAAAAAAAAAAACAGTATTTTATGTCTTATTTATTATTAGAAGACATTATATATACCATTATCATGTATTTATAATATTATGTATTGTAATAAAAGGCTGTATAATATATACAATTCATCAGAATTAAAAAATTAGTTTATATTCAATAAAAGTGTATCAATAAACATTACAAAAGTAAAATAATTGAAATGTTATAAAAATATTATCTGGTTATTTCATTCTTTAAAACAAAGTTATATAAAATTATAGCACTAATGTTACAGTAACATTATTATTTAAATTTTATAGTAATAATAATTTTGTGGCCAAAAAATCATAACAGCATATGTTATATAAACATTTAATAACTTTTTGGTAACTATGATGAAACTTTATTGGTATATTGATATTTTTTTTTAAATATTATTTTCATGTCGAATTAATATTATTTTGCTGTCTGGGTAGTTGTCTCGTTGATGCGGTTAGATCTTCCAGGCGCAAATGCCGAGATTGCCGCCAAAAAACATGTACATCAACGTATTTTCCTGATGCGTTATTTGTATGGCGTACGATTCTCCGATCACCACGTTCCACTTAGGACCGTATTTTTTATCGAGCATTTGTTTCACCGTCTTGGCCGCCGCCTGTTAAAGTTATGTCGCGTCATTATTATATTGACATAATATTGTTAATGCATAGCGGCGATGTACTCGGAGGTGATAATGGCTCTCCCCCTTAATTATTTTTTGACCAATTTATTCCAATATTGTTTAATTATTAAACTCTGTATTATACTGTAATGACAATTGACAAATTTGAATTTCATAATTCATTTTGAGCTCAGCCCCTCAAACTCAACCGCAACCCGTAATCTAGAGGGACTGCATGCACAACTTATGTCTTATTATACTACCTATCTTAAATTTTTCTGAAATTACGATTTAGTTTGATAGGTAGGTAGGTATCTAACCAAAAATGCGTATTACAAACTTTTGGGAAGAATAATAGATATAACTGCATACAACTACCATTATAGGTACCTATTATTAATGTCATGAACAAAAGTAGTTATATCTAAATATCAGTTGCTACTTCCTACCTACGTATAGTGTAGAGTGAAAAAACTAGTAAATAAAAAGAAATAACGAACCACTATTTTATTTTTTATATTTGGATGAAAAAATTCAATAGTTCATAATTAATTATAATAAAGAAGTAAATTGTTTACATATTTTGGTAATCGTAATCATTACCTAGTATGTTAAAAAAATGACTTGAAATGTGTAGGTACTAATATTCCTATGAATAAATTAACAAAAGTTGATAAATCTTACGAAATAATCTGTTCCAAATTTTTCGCATGCTGTAATTATAATTTCAATTGATTCAGCTTTCATTTCTTCCGGCATATCACACGCCTGACAATATACAACATTTAGATATTATAAACAAGAAATTTAAAAAAAGTTTAGTAGGTAGATTTTTGAATTTTCTAACTTTTAAGGTATTGTTAGTATTGTATTTGTTATATGTACCTATTATGTTTGGTATTAAAAAAAAAATATTAGCATAATTACCCAATAGGCAAGTATTCAATAATATTTTTAGCCAATACGGAATATGTCTATTTAGGTATGCGCCTTTTTCAAAATACTTAGTTGATAACTTAAAAATATTAATATTTATTATGAGTATTCAATAATCAATTATAACAAAAGTTTTTAATAATATAAGAATAGGTACTATAAGTAATAGACGCCTACTAAAAATAGGTACTTTTCGCCAATGCATTACATGGTTTGCATGAACGAGATTTGAAACATAAGCATGGTTCTTTTTTGTATGTTCAATGTAGGTATACTG